GAGCCATGCTGCAGTTATATTAGTAGTACAGTTGTAGCACGAATGCGTCGGCTCGACCGGGGTAGGACCACGCTCTCACAGAATACCAGCGTAAAATAGTATTTTAATGTTGCTATGTTTCGTATGGTAAGTGTAGGGAACCGGACACCCTTTTTACTTGAAACGAGGCATTCCATCACGGGTGACATCTGCATTTTGATTCGTAATCAAGGATAGATGTAGATGTCTATGGGCCACAGCAACCACTTACCATCAGGTCAACTGTGTACTCGTTTGTCACCTTATCCTATAAAAAATAACCATTTGTAAATATTTTATCTCTCTGTTCAGGTTATAGATTGGAATGACTGAACTGGCTGTGACTAAACTTGACACCGACAGATAGAGAGTAATGCCAGTAGTTGTCTAGGCTATATTTTCTCGAAAAACTGAGTATTTTTTTTGAAATCGGAAAATTGTTAAGATCAATGATAATTTTACAAAATCTAAATGACGTCACATTAGTAGATCGCAGTCGAAGCCGGGGCAAGTCATTAGCAGGGAATAAAAGTCATAATATAACACTGGACATACTATTAACTATCTCCATGTATCGTCGAATAGCGAAATCAAGCTATAAAATTCATTTTCTCAACTAATAGATGTCATGTTATTAGTTCGGCTCGTTTCTCCTTCAGTGCAAATGTTTTACTCTTGCAGAGAGCAACTGACTACAATAACTATATTCGTAAATTACCCGATTTGTCATTTTTAATTATTAAATGTCTTAAACATCCTGTTTTAAACAATGAAACCAATTGCATAACAAATTCAAAAAGGGCAAATTTATTTTTATTTTTATTAATTAAAGATACTAATTTACAGTCTACCTAAGGCTAAATGTCTTCTGAAACCAACCAAAAACATTTTCATGTTCATGTTTCAGTTCATGAACTTTAGTAGCCACAACCGTTATGTAGACTGTCAGTTCAACTGTCACTTAAATTGAAAAAAATAATAAGATAATATAAAACTTGAAAATAAAGGAAATGAATAAAGCTCATTAATAACCTTGAAGGCCTTAAATGCAGCATTAAACGAATCTCTTTCTATCTTAACTCTAAAGCTAGCAATTTATAGTACTTACACGATAGTAATAGCGGACTGCGGCATAGGACTTGCGACTTAGCTTGCGAATTGAGAAGAAGCAAGACGTTGCGAAGTAGCCCAGTACTCTGTACTTCTTTGTAAAATACTGCATGCTTCAAGTATATATAAACAAAAAGTATTGATAGCAATTCTTAAATTTAGTTTTAAGTTTTCAGTAGTAATTTTTTTTCATTATTACAATTTTACTAACTTAATTTTTACATTTAAAAGGTAGTGGCACATTAAGTTAATAACTCATATATGTGTGGTAACAAATTATACACTTTAGTTCCGGAATAAAAAACTAGATCGCTGCGGTTTTACTTTCAATAAGAAACAAAGATATTAAAGCGCAAGGTCAATGATTACAATTTTACATAATGACTGCGACCTCGTAAATATCCCAATTAGCAGTCGTTATATTATCGTAACGTATCATGATTTTTACCCAAAAGATATTTATGTTTAATTAAATTAGAAATCATTAAGATAGGTGCGGGAAATGTCCGGGGTAATTTCCAAAGAACCTCTAATAAATCTATGTTTACCCGGATTTATTTGGATGAAGACTAAATAATTAACAAATCATAAAAATAAACGCGGCGTTGGAGTTTCCCAAGCGCTGCTTAACCTACTGTCACTAATATTAGTTTATGTGACTGTCTCGTTGATTTATTGGTCTTTAACGCAACTCCTGATCATGTGGTCCTGATGAGTGCAGCGTCCCACTTGGGACGTGGTGAGAGGAACCAACTTGTTTTAACCAACCTAGTTAGGTGGCTTCCCCTGACATATGCTGTCAACGCGAAGCCAGGTTCGAATTTTCTCAGTAGCAAGTAGGAGTCAGAAAGTTTTTAGGTGACTCGGAAAGCACGTAAAGTCGTAACGTGTTAGTGTGCCTCCGCTAGTTCGTTACTGGTCGTGTCGGTTTGGTGTCCCATCGGACCAAGAGAGTGAGAGAATAGATAGTGCACTTGTGTTTGTATATACACTCGTGCATTAAAATCCTGTCTTGCGCAGATATTTCATATATTATCAGATATATCATATCAGGTAATCTCCGTTGAGACTGGCCGCCGTGACCGAAATTCGGTCTGGAGGACAGTACCGTGTAAACCTAAGTTTACTAGTTCTTCGGGCATTACCCGTAACATACAATCTTTCTTCGAACATGAAAATGATGAAGCGTTTAACCCATTAATTTCACGTGCACATACGGAAAATTTTTCCTATACCAAACAAATACTTGCCCTGTGCGAGAATTCATCTCGCGATCCGCAGTACCACAGAAAACATCTAGGCCAAAGCAATACTGAGCCGTTAATATAATAATGTAGTTCATCATCACCCATTAAACAATAGATTGTTGGAAAATATTATTTAATTCAAGGAGGATTATTAGAATTGCCTTGTTTGTTCAGAATCTTGGCGATTGCAATAACAGATCTCACGCCGCATTTAAATAGCCGATTCAAATGATCTTTTATAAGTTGATACTAGGTTAAGAGCCGTAGTAGCTTAAGAACTTGATACACTTGCTATAAATTTAAAAGTACGCGTATCAATCCAGGTTCAATCCCCGCTGGAACCACTGTTCGGCGGTTAAGGAGAAAATCGTGATTGTTAATGTAAAATTAAAAAACAGCCTTTCGGAAATGTGAGGTGGTCTGTGCCCAAAATTGAGACATAGTAGGCTGTGTGTGACTTTACTTTTTTTAATGGTGATAGTTAAGTTAAAAGTTACAACCTATATGTCACACTGCTGGGCACAGGCCTCTGCTCATTTCTGAGAGGGTTTTAGGGCAAGGAATTGTCCGCCGCGCTGCCCCAAGGCGTGTTGGCGAACTTCACATGTCCTCGTAATATTTTTTTTCTTATTTCTCTGACATGCAGGTTTCCTCACGATCTTTTCCTTCACCGCCGAGCACGTGGTAAATCAGCACTTAAAATTGCAATTAACGATTTCATTGGTGCCGGCGGGGATCGAACCCGATTTGCTCGCGTACTGTGAAATTTACAGCGAGCACTAACCATCTGAGCTACCACGGCTCTAATGGTTGTAGAAGGTAGGTAATTCTATTATCTGCATGAAATCCGTCTGGACATAAATCACTTTCGCCCTATTTCTTCTACTAAGAAACTTGGTGATTGTAAGTGCATTAATTGTAATATTTTGGTTTAAAAGGTATGAGCCAGAGCCAGTGTTTCCGATGCGATGACACCACTTCAGCCTTCTTTGATTGAGATTGGCTGTACGACGCACGAGCCCATGCGCTGGAGTAGCCACTTATTATTAAAAAGTATTCTGTAGGAAACGTCAGCATTAATGTCTTAAAAAATACTTTTTTGTTTTTCACCGCATGCGCCTACGCTGAACAACGCTAACAGTACGTATACCTTATGCGTTTATCACATGACGTTTTTATTATATAGAAATATCTTTATACGTGGTGGAGCCACGCTGCAGCTATATTATGGTTGTAGCACGAATGGGTCGGCTCGACTGGGGAAGGATCACGCTCTCACAGAATGCCACCGTAAAATAGCAGTTTAATACTGCTGTGTTTCGTATGGTAAGTGCAGAGAACCGGAGACCCGTTTTACTAGAATCGAGGCTTTCCATCTTAGTCCTCAAGGGTGACAACGCATCTGCATTTGATTCTTAATAGAGGTTAAATGTAGACGTCTATGGGCCACTGCATCCATTTACCATCAGATGGATTGTGTACTCGTTTGTCACCCTTATTCTATAAAATACATATCTCTATGTAAACTCATACAGAACATAATTTAGCACAGTGGAGAGGGTTTTCCGTAATCGCCTCGCTATTGACTTGGTGATCGGCGATCGAAGTTTTTGTTTATAGGAAAGTACCAGATGCATCAAAATTTGAGTCTGTAAAAAATCATGGAAATGATATCATATGCAACAACATATGTGCTGCTACTGGTTTTCGAACCCAGGACTCACGACTCATGTCAACTACCACGCTGCGCGTAATAGTGGTAGAGTAAACTGGAACTGGATACAGCAGCCGCGTGAAGGACTTAGATCTGGTTGATTATGATAATTCAGTAATATATTACACCCGCCATTCACTTTACATTCTAAAATAAAATTTCAATCTCAAGGGAAAACAGTACAATAATACGCTTGATTTTAATAAATCCGATTTGTCAGATTTTCGATGCTTTTTACGTCCCAGCTTTTTTTTGTATTAATTTAATATATCATCGATGTAGTGTTATTTATAATAAATAGATTATAAGAAAAATAAACAAGCGTGACAGTATATTTATAATAAAAATGAACAAAGTAATCATTACAAATATAATTTCTGTATTCGATTGAATAGAAATGACACACTAGTAACAAAAAAAAATTATAAACATAACTCTAATTTAAAATATGTAATTATTTGCAGTTCTATACGTACGTTATTAATTTTTTTAAATAATCTTAATAAAATATGTCATCATATTCGTGTCATAGTCTAGTTACAGTAATTCGGTTAAATCACACTGACGAGTGATTTGATGATTTAACCGAAATATATTTTAAAATATTTTCAGAAAAATCTTAATTATATTTATTGAATTTGATCAAACTGTACGGTTATTTGTAACATAAATCCAAAATAAGAATTTAGAAAATTATAAATAAAGTGATTTTGTTAATAAATATAACTTTTACTGCCTTTTATACAAATTCATGCATACGTTAGTTTATTTTGTGGTGACCAAAACAATTGCTTACAATACGAAACAGACTATGGTTACCAAATTATTGCACGAAGTTACTTTCTCACAGTTATTTGTTGCTTGATATCAAATCTAATCGTGCCAGGTTGATAAACTTATAACCTACTTACCAAAAGAAAACAGGAACAGGAAAATTATCAACTTCACAACCATTTTAGAATTATAAATTAAAAGGTCACTAAAAATTTAATTTATTAAATATTCACTATCATTGTCTAAAAAAGGAAACTTTATTCATAAAACTTGCGTTTCTAAATTGTTTTCATTTGTTTGGATTTAAAAAACAATAAACTGTCAACACCACTGATTTTGCCGCCAAACTGAACGTAGAAACACATGACGTCCAACGCAACGCAACTTTCACTATTGCGACAATGTTATATGTAAACTAGTGATCAATTAAGTTATTACTTCATTACTTAGTATTTTAAGTACAAATTCTTCTTGCATGAATCACACAGTTAATACATTTTTAAATACAAAGTCTATTTTTACTTGTGTTTGAAATTCAAAATCAGGTGGTGGTAATTCTGATAATAACGTAATGCGAAACTATACTTAAATGCCAACAGTGATAAGATGTATATTGCAAGCGCTTTCAAATAAATACAGAACACTCATGTGTGAGTTTCCATTCACCACGGAACAAATGGTAATCCAAAATGGCAAATGCAAAACCACATAGGGCACTCAATTATTTTCTTTAAATCTTACTATATAAAATTTATTTTGATATAACCAACATCATCGCTTACAACCTTTTAAGATAATTTGACCACCACTTTCATATTTCGTCAAACCAAGAGTGGTGGTTGTACTCGGACAGAACTAGAAAACATGCAGTTTTGCTATGAGAAGGTTGACAACGATTTATTAAATAAATAAAATTTTGCGTGTTTCCGTGAAACATAAGCAATAAGTTTATATCAGAGCTTTTTACCATTAATAAAAAATTGCCCAAAGGATTAATCTTAGATTAAATAATACGTAACTGTATAACTCGCCGATTGCCCAGAATGAATCTAACGTACTATACAGTATTTATGTGATCCCGTTCATAATGCGTACAACGAACGAGTGGAGTAATTTGCAAGTCTGTCTTTCCATCCGATTAAAATCTGTCTTTAAGGCAAGAGTGAATAGATCTTTTTTAAAATAAATAAGTGCGTGTTACTGCCTTCGGTTAAATCACCATTTACCACCAGGCCTAAAAAAGTCCACTGCTGAATATACGAGTAGATCTCTCCCATAAATTGCTCCTATAGGGTAGGTTTTGCCATAGTTGCAATGTTTTGCGGACGGATTGGCAACAGCAGTATTTTGAGTTGTTATCAGTAAAATGCTGCTGATTATTGACGGCTCCGTGGCGCAGTTGCTTAGCAATGAGTTATAGCGCTGAGGACCACGGATTCGAATCCCGCACGGAACAAGAATTTATATGGCTTACAAGTAATCGTTACGGGTCTGGATGTTTGTCCTTGTGCAATTTATGTATGTAAAAGGCCTCTACGATACAGGAGAAAATCCTAGTGTGGGGGTAACGTGAAATTTTTTTTTCTGCGTTTTACTCTACCCAATATTCGTGTGTCTGTTGTATTCTTGTGTGCATATTTTATATTACGATACACAGCCACTACACGGTTATAATAGCCAAATTAAACAATAATTTGTATGGCTATACACTAAACATATAAATAAATTGAAATGTCTGTGAGTTTTGGAACTTAAGTGCCTGTCGTCATCGACTGTCTGCTGGGTTGAGCTATTGTCAAAGTCTCCCAAAAACTTCGCAATGTGACGCATCAGCATATTGTGAAGAAAAAATCAATAATAATGAAGATACTGAATAAAATTAAGACATAGCTTAAAGGACAAGCATCCAAGCCAATAATCTTAATAAGAAAATGTAATGACTGTCTGTAATGTTGAAATTACTGGCTTCTATTAAGCTCAACGGTCTGGTTTCTGGTGTCTGGTTCTGATTAATGCTGTTAAAAGGGTGAGTTTAGATCATTCTACATCGTTACTTGCATAACAATGACTCCTACGACAGTGTATAGCGTACGAGGGTGAGTTTTCTAACGACCGTACGAGCAGTGGGTGGCAGGTTCGATGTTCTGGTCGGTGAGAATCGTCGCAGGGACGCGGGTGTAAGGTGTGTACGCGATCTGGAGAAGTGTGCGGCGCACCCGTCTGCGGACTCGCAGCGCCACATCCGTTATCCTAACCGTGTTTGTTGCAATAGGTGAATGTGTAGTGTGTGACGGGCCGGCGACATTTGGGTCGTCCGAATCTAGCAGAACTGGGGGTTCGATTGGAACGTTACGGGACCTCCGGAGACTTTCATTAACATTTGCAGTCGGAGCGTAGATGGTTCGTTTACCACAAGTGGGTTGGGTTGTGTCTCGGCCCTCTCGAAGTAGCGCTGAGACATTTTCTTGAAAAATTCAGAGATCGCCGGAAGTTGACAATCTCTGTGCAATTCAGTTTCGCTGGTACCACCGAGCTCCGGTGGGTATGCGAATGGGTCTATTTTAGACGAAGTGCTTAGTCCGGTATTTATGCGAATGACTATGAACCACGTGGGCAAAGGCTACACTTGCGTAGGACATAATAATGCTTATGCTTATAATATTATAATTATATAATATTGTTGGCGACGCGCCTATAAAAATGTTTCAGTTTATTAAATCAACCGATGACGTTGCTATGAAAAAAGGGGCAGTCACGAGCAACGACGCTCTGATAAGAGAATGCTTAGTTAAATCTTTAAGAAATGTCGAATTAATGATATGAAGGTCTTGGGTTCGACTCCCAGGCCGGACTAGTTTGTTTGTTTTCCTAAGTAATATCGCTTAATAAATTCGTAAGGAATTTAAGATATAAATTATGTTACCGGATTTGTTCCCCGGTTGAAATCATCTTTCAAATGATGTAAATTCATAAGAATATTAAAGTGAAGTTAAAGATCGGATTTGTTCCCCGGTCGAGATAATCACTCTGTGCATAGGCAGAATTAATGGATATTAATTGCATAAATGTTGTTTTGTATAAGTTTGATACGTTTTGTACGAAAACAAATGCCTATTTGTTATGATTGATTAATGAGAACATTCATTTATATTGTTATCTGATTAAAGATAGTTTCATACAGTTCGAAAATTGTATAAAAGCATTTAATTTGCCTAATATGGTCAAAATTGGTGTATTTCATAATTTAATTTTTTCTGATAGCCGAGAGCCGTGCAAAGTTAGTTGTTCACATAGCGTGAGTACACGGAAGCACGCTGGCCACGCCCTTAGGAGGCCGAATATGTAAAAATTTAAAATGTTTGTAATTCAGTGATTTATGTAAAAATTACTTGTAAAATATTTCAGGTTAATTGTACGTGCTAAAAAAGGTAAATTCTGTGTTATTTTCATGTGAAAATTCCTGTGTATAAGTGAAATAATGATAGTTTTGTATAAGAAATTTAAAAGTGTTTTAAATAGTGAAATAAATAGAAAAAATGTAAATTAAACTATTGTATTGGTTAGCTTATGTATAAATTCAAGTGAGAAACATTGTTTTAACTTTCTGTGTTAAATATTTAAGAAATTTCGATTTCGAACTTGTGAGTAAAATAGGCAGTTTTCGTTTAATAAATAAAAGGTTTTTTATGATATGAAGATATGATGTATATCATGGTGTAGATATTGTTTTGTACTACCTATATTGATAAATTGTATTTGTATATGATTTGAATAAATAAAGATATTGAGTGAAACGTGAGAGAGTAATAGTACAAATTCATGTAATTAAGTTGCGCAAGCGCGCAGATGGCGCGGCTCACTTTCGCGTTTAGCTTAGGGGGTAGGATAGTAAATTGATTTTATTGCAATTCGTTCGGGAATGGTTCGGGAAATATTCAAGGAATCGTTCGGGAATCGTTCGGGAATCGTTCGGGGATCTTACCAGCAGTCAATAAGAAGAAGAAAGAAAAAGTGTAGGGAAGTGATAGGGAAAAGTGATTACTCTCTCACGGAACGGTTTGAAGATAATTGCTGTTTCATTCCCAAGTAATTCATCCCTTAAGTTATACAGTCCACATCGAAGAATTAAGGCGTCGGGACCGGGACGACTTCGGAAGACCCGTAATCCCCGTCTGAACCTACTTGCTGAAAAGGAAGAGGTTATCGCCCTAGTGTGTTACTCCGTTGCGGAGATCACATACGTTGTTCCCGAACCCAACGTAGGCGTGATAGGAGGCCGGATCGAGAGAAGCCTCGATTCCTGTTTCTTAGTACCCGATCCGCTAGGTCCTTTTCAATTGGTCCTTTTCAGGATCAAGAGGGACACCCGGCCCCCCGACCTGGTCCTTTTCAATTGGACCTTCGGAGCCGGATTGAAGACCACCCGAACCCCGCCAGCTGGATCAAGGAACCAGCTGTGGACTGCTGGTTGTGGAAGAAGAAGACCTTCGGAAGCCGAGTGAAGATCAGCAACCGAAGGAAGCCGGAGGTTTGAGCTGAAGCAATAGGACCAAAGGCCTGAAGACCAGGACGGCAGCACTGAAGGGCTGGACCTGGAACTACCGGAAGAAAGAAAACCGGGATTGCAGCTTGGGGCGTGTGCTCGCATGGGGCACATATCGCAGCCGGGCGCAGGTGTCTTGTGAAGGCACTCATCGTGGCCAAGCAGGGCTTGGCATTTTTCCTGTCGGGCAAGCGTGCTCGGCATTTCCTGTCAGACGATCGTGTCTGGCATTTCCTGTCGGACGACCGTGTCCGGCATTTCCCGTCGGGTCATCAGGGTGCAAAAAGCATCCACCGCTGCTGCTGCCGGGCGAGGGTGCGCGTGGGCACCTGACTGCATCGCGGCCGGAGGAGGGCGCTTGGACGAGGCGTCACCGGCAACTGGGCGGCGAGCACAGCATACATCCCGACCACCTAACGGTGCCAAACGGTTGGGCTCTGGCATAACACCTTCGGGTGGAGCAGTTCTCTCGAGCGAGACTGCGCTTGCACTACCGCTCGACTGTTTCGTCATATTCCTTGGCGGGACAGTTCCTAAACCTTTCCTCCATTCCATTCCTGCACGACTCCATCCCTGGACGGCTCACCTCGGTAGGCCCCGTTCAGGATTGATAGGGCTGATAGGGCTGTTAGGGTGG